GGAGAAAAAAAAATGCAGAAAAACCTGCGTAGCTATAGACTAGCGCCTAAACGAATGTACCGATTTCATTGAAACTTCGCTAAAGTCATTTTCTCGACACCCTTCAAATTTATCTATATAACATTCATCAGCGAAAAGAAGCTGGAAAAAAAGTTACGAGGGACGGTAAAATTAAATTCCGAATAACTCAAAAAGTATACACTTTTTTGGGAATGTTGTGTTAAGATGTTTCAAAGGTATTTAAATGGCATAAAAAACAAAAGAAGTTTCATCGAAATCAAAGCACTATTAGTAGACTTTAAAATATTTTTACTTTCACTTACGTATATATGTAATATATAGTAAGTGTAAGTATTGTGATCGAGAAAAATTTTTCCCATCTTTTCATTAACTGCATAATGCATGTGATGTTCTATTATAGAAATGTTATATTTGGATTTTAAAATTCTCTTGAAATATAAAAAAAAAAAACACTGGTCTTCTTTAAAAAATGGTTCACAAAGCATTCATTATATTTTTTTAACAATGACCGGTTAGTCTGGATAGCAAGGAAATATTTTATTGTCAATAATAAGGCTTCTAGACTTTTGTCCCGCTAAATTTGCAGTCGGCCACACTGCCGCACATGTTCGTACGAAATCTTTGCACGGGTCAGAAAATAAATTATATTAATAACAAATAAATCATTACGGTTCCAGAGTTCAACAAAATATTTTCTGGAACGGAATGTGGTAATAAACTAATTTAAATAAAAATGTTTTGAAATATACAAGTTTTAAAAAAATGCATTGCTTCAAATAATTTCCGAGACTTATTTTTGCTGAAAAGTTTTTGGATCTATTTCAGAAATATAATTCGTAAAGATGTCTCATTCTGGCAAAGTTATAAGTCTTTTTGAATTCTGGTTCAGCTAGGCCCTATCTAAATAACATAAACAAGATAAGGTGCAAAATGTAAGAAGTAAGGAAGAAGAGAAAATATGAAATAAAATAATTTCTCTTTTACACTTTAATCCTACGTTGGCTTTAACGCTAACGCCTCACCTCTCGTAAATCTGCGAGATTACTAAAAATAACCGCCGTAAATCAATCTCTCCCTTTATCTTTCCTCCCCCCTGCCCGCCGTGTCTTGCAACCTGAACCGAGCTCAGTTTTTATCAAGTTCCGCTCTTCATAAACAGATTACAGGAGAGCGCGTGTTGCTTGGAGTAGCCGAGCTTATCAGCTGATTAGGGCAGTACTAAGCACGGAATACAAAGTGCCCACTAAGAGAAACAAAGAGGTGACAATGAGGAGCTTCAATATTATAAAAAATGGAGATATGATCTTTCATGATAATTGGGTATCTTATTGCATATTCCCTATTAGTCCCGACGCCACATTAACGAACTTTAATGAGGAAAACTAATTTTAATTTAACAATACATAAACTTAACATGAGTGTTATATTCTTTCAAGTTTTTTACTCGACATGAGTTCGACTACACACGGGCAATAGCGGATTCAATATTCAATTTTGTTGTGACTTTTTTTATTACAATTAAAAAAAAAAATATAAATTTATAAATCTCCGTTTTCCACCAACGATTTATTTATTATTTATTTTATTTCGACAACGTTTCGACCAACATTAGGGCCATTTTCAAATCTGGAAAATGTTTATGTCATTGTTAGATTACATTTCATTTGCATTTAAAAATTAATTTAATTTTACATAATTGTTTAATCTAATGATCTATGTTATACAACTAAACTATATAGCTTTTTGGGATATTTTTTAAAATATAGTTTTTAGGAAATGTTTTTTAAAATATAGCTTTTAGGGATAGGTTTTAAAATATAGCTACATTTTTTAAAAATATAACTTTATAATAATTTCTGTCAAAGAATCTTTATCAAATTTTGTCTCATATATAATTTATTTTTACTTTCATTTACCTATATGTATAGTATATAGTAAAGGTATTGCGACCGTGAAAATTTTTGAATCTCAGTTTTCAACGGAAATACACGTTTTAAAGTCCCCTGAGTCCAAATAACCAAGTGCCGCAAAATAGTCTGTGTGTGTGGGTGTGTGTTTGTGTTAACAGTCTAGCTCAAAAACGAAAAGTCGTACGGAAGTGAAATTAAATAGTTTAGGTTTTTATATGCTAGGGAAGTTACAGCAACTTTTTCGTCAAAACCGGCTAACCAGAAGTGGCACTTTATATAATGGACTTACCACATTATCTTGAAAATCGCTCTAACGATTTTGATTAAATATGAAAGACTTTTATAATTAACTAAAGGAGAAATAAGAGATCGTAACGGAGAATAATTGTAATTGAGGAACCAAGGAAGACGAGCGATATAAATATTAAAATGTGTATATATGAGGATAGTTATACAAATAATAATACCATCAATGAAATATATATAAATATAGAGTCTATAATTTTTACTTTCACTACGCTTTGTCTGAAAATACTTATTTCTGCTAAGAAGTGAAACTTGTGTGATGCGCGCACCGCACCAGATTTTTTAACGTCGAAACCTTTTGTGAAGCAATGATTTTTTGGCATTAGATGTTCCTTACGTTATTTCTATCGACTATGAGGGCATTGGGTAGAGTTAAACCAAGATAGTATACTAATCAGAACAAGTGAGATATTCGTTAGGCGATTGGTGAAAATTATGATTTTAGATTTACTTTGTGTTCGTTAATAATGTGCATTATTGGCAATATTTTTGAAGTTTTGTAATGGCCAGATAACTATCATACCTATTAGGCCACGATAGCGACCCCTTTTGATAAAGTTATTAACATCCGACAATCCGATTAAAAATCGTGAATGCCCTTATCTTATCGTAACTTATCGAATATTCTCAGAAATGGGCCGTTTTGAGTTTGGAGATCGGTAAACTTTGTCTATTCAACGAGGTACTAAAAATGCATGAAAGCCCATTCGATTTCCTTTTGCATCGTATGATAATTTGATCAGATATTCGAGAAAAAAAAAAAGGTGGCCTACAAAAAGATTGATAACTACAAACACAACACAAAATAAGTAGGTTATACAGGCCAAACGGCCCAATATTTTTCTCTCGAGTTTGTGATTTAACTAAAGCTTGTGATCAAACTATTTCACGATTCAAGTGGAAATGAAATGAGTACTCGTGACTTTTTAGTACCTCGTTAAATTAATTAATCTAATGAGTAAACGCTTCATTTCTGAGGATTTACGAAGATAAAAAAGTTGTAAGTTACAATAAGATGAAGTCATTCACGAAGTTTTAGGCGGATGTTTATAATGTAATAAAAAGAGCTCTGTACCGATGTCTATATTGGATAGGAAGATCAGCATTAGGCTGTTTTGTATCTTCTAAGTAAAAGATGCTTATTAATTACGGATGAGTAGAAAAGCCGGATAAGAAAATATTAAATGGAGTTGAAGATAAACAGGAAACTTGTGGAAGGTAGCAATGAGGGAAATATAGCTAAGATTCGTTATATTATATGTAAAACAGTAAATAAAATATATTATTCCACTTCAACAATATTTTGGGAGTAGTCCTGATGAAGGCCTGAACTTCAGATCAAAACGTCGGGAAATGTCAAAATAAATATTATTTATTTTTACCTTCTTATTTGACTGATCACCCCAACTATTCTTCTCTTTATTATTTCTAAAAGGTGTTTTTTGTCAGTACGCCATAACTTTGTCAATTCTTTATTAAATCCAATGATTGACCATCATTTTAAAGATATTCTTCTCCTTCACTTGCGAAAAAATAGTCCTATCCTCACGAAATTTCTGGAAAAAAAGTTATGAAGGAAAAGAAACTTTATTCGCGAATATCTCAAAAACTATGTATTTTTTCTTGCTTGTACCCATGACAATTGGAAAGATAACTAAATAGCCTACAAAATAAAACAAAAAATCGAACAATTATTAACAACGTCCATACAGTCCATTAGTTTTGATATACTTAATAATGTCTTGCATTTTAAAGATATTGCATTTAGGAGTAGAATAGTCTACTACACTTTTTTCCTGGCTGATATATTAACTTTATTATTTCTTAAAGGTATTTGTTTGTTCTTACATTTTATTTTTGTAATAATTTAGAAAATCCCATGATCGGAGCATTATTTGATTTTAATACTTATATTATCTTTCCAGACAGCGCTTAAAAATAGATCATAGCAAAGCGATTTGTACAAATATTTTGGTCTGTCATGTTAAATGGAATATTGTAATCGACCAAGAGAAAAATATTAATTCCTTCCTCACATAATACATAGGATCTACTTATTTCCATATTGTTTTTCTATTTCTTCACTAAACAAATTTTTTTTTGCGAATTATTCGCACGGGCCAACTAGTGAAATATATTATACAATGTAAATTAAATAATAATATATTACTTACGAACTGTATTCGTGAAACATTCATCTTGTTTGGATTACCTCTCTCTAAATTTCTTTCCCACTCTCTTGCTCGATCGAACTAAATAACATGTCAAGGGAAAAATCTATTGGTCAAATGAAATCGATCTAAGAAAACCTTGAAAACTCCTCTCTATATTCCCTTTCTCATCTTTCTCTGTGTTTATAACTGATTAATATAAGCATGATAATGTCATTTTTAGTTAACTTTTCAAGACATATTCACTAAGAGAAACGGGATAACACAGTGAGTATATACTCCGGATGCTATGTTCGATTCTGGTAGTGACAGGTAATTATTTATTCTACCAATGGAGCAATGGATCAACATTGGGGTCGGGATACCCTTCTAAGGCACATACTGTATCTATAATATGGGGATCTTATATTAAATTATTTATGAAGATAAATAATTAAGGTAGAAATTTAGCCTGATCACAGTCATATTACCTCTTTGTGCCATTTTTAACCAAGAAAAAGAACTTCCTTACAATTTAATGACCCCAAGACCTCTACAGGTAATAGGAATACTTTTTTTTATGAGGATTAGTAAAATTATGAGTCTATTTCAGATGTTTGAAAAACGGAGCGTCATGCGAGGCAAGGTGCCAAGAAGATCTGGTTACAGCATGCCACGTAGCAGCGACCTATGGCGAAGACGACATCCTCACGGTGCTTCTGGATGCCGGAGCTTCACCTTCGACTAGGGACAGGTATGGTCGACAGCCTCACCACATGGCGGCCGCAAAGGGTCACCTATCCACTATCGTCCTTCTTGTCAGCAAGGATATGAGTCTCATTAACTCTCAAGTCATACCTCAAGAAGCAGACATCGAAGACAAGCATTTAGATTCCAATATTCACAACCACCAGGAAATTTCGTCAGAGGTAATCTATTTTTCCATATACCTTTTAAAAGAATTTTTATTTTCGATGATAAATATATGTGTTTGTTACAGTTACCATGGATAACCGAAGGGAGCACCGCACTTCATGTGGCATCTAGATGCGGCTTTGTAGACGTTGTTGACTTCCTTCTTGAAAACAAAGCTATTATCGGAATCAAGGACAGCCAACATCAAACAGCACTGGACGTTGCAGGATTGGATGCTGACAGGAGTGTACCAGGCACCATTGTGTGTGCCGCAGTTCCTGCCGACGACATCCCTAGGTTAGGAAGTGTTCGATCTTCAGGGTCCAGAGAGTCGAGACCTTCGATAAGATTTCTTGGCAAAAAGAAAAAGAAAGAAAAAACTCAATTCATGGAATTATGCAGTTCATTCTTCAAAACAGGTATCCAACTGTCTATGCCTGAGCTCAGCGACAAGAAGGTGACGTTGCTCCATACAGCCGTCAAGAAGCAGGACATCACTGCGATACAGGAATTGATTAACCAAGGTTTCAAAATTAACACTCAAGACGATAAGGGACTCACTCCAGTCCATTTGGCGGTAGAACTTCATCTGACAGAATCGCTTAAAATCCTTTTGGAAAGCGATGCCTCCGCCGTGAACTACAGGGATGGTAAAGGCAGAACTCCTCTGCACGTTGCTGTCGAGTACGAATGGATGAAAGGTGTCCAGTTACTATTGGAACTAAAAACGGACTTGAAAATTGTATCGAAAAATGGTGAAACTGTCCTCCATGTGGCAGCACGGAAGGGAAATCCTCAACTCTTGAAAATATTGCTCGACAGATTTACAACTAAGGTGAGTTCATCAAGTCTATTGAATTTAGACCTTTCATATCAATAGTAAGAGTTCTATGAGTGTATTACAATCAATAATCGTTTATACAGATAAAACGTTAAATAAGAAAGAGTAAGGAAAGTTTATTAAAAGAACTATTATAAAAAATAAAGGATTTAAAAAAATTATAATAATAATTAATATGAATCTAAATAAAATTAAAAAGAAGATAAACTAAAATTAATATAAGATACAGGGTAAAAAAGTAATAAAGAGCATATGTAAAGCGTATGTCTGTAAAGAAAAGTGTTATGAGTCTACTCAGACATTTATTAAAAAAGAATAATAACGAGATATGCTTAAGTTTAAAACTGATGATGACGGCGTACTTTGATGGTTAAAATTATTATTTTAATTCCGTCCATCAGGCACTATTTGAAAAATTTCGATGAATTGAGATATGTTTGAGATCAAAATGAGAGTTGATATTATAAAAAGTAGTAAATGAAATATAGAGAAATAAATAATTATAAAAAATAAATTATTAATAAGCACATTCTCAAAAAAAATTGAAGTAATTAGAAAATAAATCAAGCTACAAAAAAATAATAAAAAATTTAATTGAAGTGAATTACTAAACTCTGCAAGATCTTAATATTCGATTTTTTTTTTTTTTTTTTTTTTTTTTGACAATCGTCATTTATTTAGTTAGAAAATCCAGAACAGCGTACTTTTTTTTTTAAATTCTTTCTTTATTTATTTATAACAAGCTATAAGTGAATATTTTAAAATAACTAATATTAAGTTCTTGAAGTAAATGAACTTTATGTAATGTGCTTATAAGTGTTCTGTAAATCGTTATCAGCTTCTCAACATATCATCTTAGAGTCGGAGACAATCAAAGAAGAAATCATGATAAAGGAATTAACAAGCTCATTTTTATCTCAGGTCTGTTATGACGAATTTGCAATAGGTTGACACCACACAATCAAAAGGTCCGTAACTTAAAAAAATATATAATCAAATTAAAAAATATTAGTTACATAAATCTTTATTTAACCTATATTAAGGAATGTTAGGCAAATCGGTTCAACATTATACACGTTTTAAATAATGCAATATTTGTGGACTCTTTTACTCTATGTCAATATTGTAAATTCTAATGCAGGTCAATATTTAATATTTTTTAATAATCATAAATAAATAAAAATAAGTAATATAGAAGGAACGTAATGTACCAGTACAACTTGTACATAACTACAACTTTCAATATATTTCTAAATGTATGAGAGGAAGGTAGTCTACAAAACCATTATCTTACCTACAGTTCTTTATGAATAAGAAAAGTGGCCGCTTACACTGAGGGATGAGGTTTTTGAAAATAAAGTATTCAGCGTAGAATATTCAGATCGAAGAAGGATGAGTTAACAGGAGAATTGAGAGGGTTACACAACGCCGAATTGTGTGAACTGTATACGGTTAATATAATTGAGGTGATTACATCAAGGCGGATCAAATGGGCTGGTAAAACTGTTGAGTTTAGTAAAGAAAGAAGAGGTTAATATTTGTTGTACCGAATCGTAAACGTCGGAGAAATAGGCCGAAGCGAAGGTGGGAAGATTGCGTTACAGCCGATCTGAAGGGACCTTATTTAAACGGTGAATGGTGGAGGGAGAAGTGTAATAAGCGATTGGTGGTGTCGGCATCGAACCGTCGGGTTTTTCTAGCCTTTTATTATTTATTATTATTATTACTATTATGAGAGGAAGGTAGAGAGGTTGGGTAGCAGTAATGGAGAGTTTTCTCAGGATAGTAATAATATTCTGTATTTATTATCCTATACGAGTAAATTAAATTTGAATAACAGCCATTTAGATTTGTTAAAATAGGTCTTAGGTAATAGATCTTTTGTTTATAGAGTGCTATTATATAAAAGTATAATTAAATTATATTTTCATTATTAGAAATATAAATCCAATCCACTATCCTCCTGCCTACTACATCATGGCAGTGATAAATTATTGTATACATTAATTTTGCAATGATAGAATAATATTTAAAATCATGAAATTATTAATTCAAAACCTTTTAAAATATTGTTTTGTTTGTAGTCTTGCTGATTTTATTTAATATTTCCGACTTCTACATTTTTAAAGGTTTCACGAATTAAACCTGCATCACATAAAACCAACATACTGTCAATGATTTCTTGTTCTCATAATTGATTTAATTTTTTTAGGTGATTAATAGAAGAGATGATGAGGGATATACACCATTGCTCCGAGCAGTTGAAAAAGGGAATCTTAGCTGTGTAGAACTCCTTCTTAAAAATGTCGATGATCCTAATTTCAAGAAACATGTAAAAACTTCAAAAGATACCAGTCCTTCATCAACACTCCTACACGTCGCAGTAAAATCCAACGCCTCAGAAGTGTTAGAAAAACTGATTTCGGTATTAAATCCAACAAATAGTTACTTAAACTTTCGGAATGATGAGGGCTATAGTGCACTTCACCTGGCAGCACAAAAAGGAAGCATTAAATGCGCTGAAATATTGCTCTCGACACCTGGTATTGCAATAGACCTCTTCTCCGATAAAGAAGAACAGAACGCTTTGCACTTCGCTGCAGCTTCTGGTAACTTAGAAATAATAAAAATGCTATTGAAAGAGTGTTCCCATCACGAAATGAACCTTCTGCACACCACCGACCACAAAGGTCGGGAGCCGTTGATACTAGCGGTGAATGGGGGCTATCGGGAGTGTGTCATATATCTCCTGTCGAAGGGTGCCAACCTGGCCGCGAGAGACGGTGGCCTCACGGCTCTGGATCTCATCTTCTACAAGCTGCATCATCCCGTCCAGATATTGGACAATCTTATGAACAGCTTCATGGTAAAGGAATCGGCCACGGACAGCCTCAAAGAAGACAGCACAGACCTGGAAGTCATCTTGGACTTCACCATTCTCCTTGCCGATGTCCGGAACAACTCTCGTCAGTTTGGAGTCATCGACGCTATTAACAACTGCGCTTACGGGCAGCTACAGCAAGAAATGTTTCTTCACCCTCTAGTCTCGAGCTTCCTAGTCCTCAAGTGGAGACAGTTAAAATATTTTTTCAAAATCTTATTGTTCATTCACCTTATCCACATACTGTCAGTGACTGGAATGGCTACGATGACTTATGCGTATCATAATCCGATTGTGGCTTGGATCTGCAGGGCAATCGTGCTCATCACACTTATACCTATTATATTTTGGGTGAGTATTAAGAAGATTTTAGTTTATTCTATCATGTGTACCATATATAATTAGTAGTAAAAGGTAATGTTAAAAAAAAAATGTATATATTCATGTTAACAGGAACTGTTAAACGCAAGTAGATTCGAAAGGTTTTACGTGCTAGACGGAGAAACGTGGGTGAAGTGGGCAGTGATATTCACGACAGGGCTTATGGCCATTCTGCCCGGTCTCAGCTGGGCTCGCTACCTCACCTCGATAGCGGTGCTACTGGCTTGGATAGAGCTCCTCTTCCTCTATGCCAAGACATTCACTTTGGGACTCATCGTTCAGATGTTCTTCGAAGTAGCAAAAAATGTAGTAGAGGTATGTACTTTAAAATTTTGTTATCAAAAAATCAAATAATTGAATACTATACACATCATCTTGAAGCGAAAAATCAAGAACATGATCCCTGAGATACATCGAATTTTAAAGGCATTATAAAAGTATATTTATTATAGTTAGGAAGTTGGTTCGGGATTGCAGTCAAAGAGGACACTTTTTGGTTTATTATTTTCAATAATGAACTATTGTGATCGACCGAAAAATTCAAAAACTTAACTCCCTCTCAAAATTTGAGGTTTCACGTTTCAGGATATGTACAATTCGAAAAACGAATACAAATTTTTTTGTCCATCCTATTTATTTATTTATCAACCCTGCCGTGCCTAGTAGGGAATATGGGTGTCTGCAATAGTAAGATGTTAGGCAGGTCAGCTCAACATCTCACTGCTGCAAATGAATCTTGTTCTTCTGCTCTTTCTTCATTTTTTTTCTCTTTCTTCATGGTTGCTTTTCTCATCCGTTTCACGCCAATGGTATAGTACCTCTTCCTCCTCTTCTTAAATTAAAATGGGCTGGCCTCACCGCAACTTTCCACCCGTACACAAAATCTTTGTAGTTTTCCGCAGTGACTAACAGAGAAAAATCGTAACAGAGAGACCGGTTTCTCTCAGTAACTTAGCCCTTAGCTCTTCAAAGGCGGTGCAGTCCACTATGATGTGCTCAGCAGTCTCCGGAACACCGCAGCTAGGGCATAGGGGGTCGATGTCCATCCCATGGCAATGAAGCTTTGCTCGAAAGCCCCCATGGCCTGTGAGAAATTACGAGAGCCAATAGTCCGGTACGATCCACCTTGCTTCTAAACGTGACCGGACGGTGGGAAAGTACTTCCTCAAGGTAGATCCTTTGGGGGTTATCACCCACCGCTGGTTCTATTCTTCCAATGTATCGTCCCGTATAATGCTTTTCCATTTGCAAGGATTCTCGTCAATTCTCACCTTAAGATTTTCCGGTAGACCTGCTGAGCCGTTTTTCTTAAACATGTGTTTCATCATGTCTTCACGCAGAAGAAGGTCGAGAGGTACCCCTACCCCTCCTGCTAAATATAATTAAAATATAAAAGTAATGATTAAAAAATAAAAGTTTAGTTCCAATAATTGGAATCAACTTTTATTTATTTTTCTTTGTAACTGGGAAAGTAATGTTACTTTAGATGTACAATCGTTTGGAAATAATAAACCATTGTGAAATAATTTGCAGCATTTTTTTCTCTGTGACTGCAACTCTAAACCTTCTAATCTTGATAAGAAAGTACTGTTTGTTTTTTTTACTAATGGTTATGCAACGAAATATTCACACTCAACACCCAAGTGTTTCACTGAGCCTAAGTAAATACTTCTTAGATGTTATGCCTACTTCCCTCTCCTTCCCCCCAGACAATCCTCATCGCCTTAACTTTAATGTCAATCCAGGGTTGATGGAACAGAAAATCGTCTTCTTTAGAGTGACTCAAACCTGATAACTTTGAGTAATTCTATTTTATTATATAGTGTGATCACGTGTCTTTATTAGATTAATGTTGGAAGTGCGAAACTTGATAAATAAATAGCATGGAATAAAAGACTTTGAGAATGTTTATATGAGGACGACGCTTTAAAATCATAAAATTAAACGCACGCGTAGATGTTAAAGCATTTCTTAAAGACCAGATATAATCTGAAGGCTCAAACAGTTTTTCCGCTAACATTATTTGAAATTAATATAAACTAGTAATAAACTAATTTTATTATCAGTTTGTTATAATAATAATTATTATTATGTTATTATTTGGAATCTACACTACAGAAAATTTTTAGAGAAATGTCTTAAAGAACCTTTTTTTTTTGTCCTGTCTTCCCTTGTATTTTAGGCTATACGAATGTTTTCCGGGCCAGTAGAGGAATAATGCAAGAGTTAAAAAAAGCTTCCCATGCCACCGGAATGCGAACTCGGTATTATTCTATCACGTTATCTTATATTCGGGTTGCCAGGCAACGCGCAGTGCTGTGCACACGCGTTATCCGGCTCGTCCATACAGTCCCCACCTAAAGAACTTTAACATATTCCCTATTGGCCAACACTGCTTATTTTTTCTTGCATAGTTTCGAAAAAAATTCACCAACTTCCCCAAGTGGGTCCATTGATATTACTTGATAGTACTGTATCATTAAGAAATATCAATGGTCAGCAACAATCAAAACCATTTTTTTTTCCCAATTATCAATCCATTAATGTTCACCGTATCCTATTGCATTATCGTCAAAGAGAATATACCTGTTTAATTTGTAAATACATTATAATACACTATGACCTGAATGTTAGCTAATCGTTAAAATTAACCTTATTTTTTCAGGTCATGACAACATTCATAGTACTAATTTTGGGTTTCACCTTTGCGTTCCTGGTCCTATTCAATGAGCATTATCCTTTCACGGACCTCTGGACTTCTTTATGCAAGGTGCTCATCATGATGGTAGAGCTGGATTACAATGGCGCCTTTACAGAAGAGGACAATCAAGCTTCAGTTTTCAACGTCGTAGGTCGGATAATGTACATCAGCTTCGTGATCCTTGTCGTATTGGTAATGATAAATCTGATTCAGAGCATGTCTGTAAGCGATGTGGCGAAGCTAGAAGCACAGGGCAGGTCCAAGCGGTTGGCAAAGAAAGCTTCATTCCTTAGTCTTCTTGAGAGTTTTTGTTATAACGAGAAATTGCTCAACTGGCTTCCCGAATTCGCTCAGGAGAAAATAGAGAACAAGAGATCTGTACCAAAGAAGATATACGTAAAACCAAACCAGCCTACAAGTGAAGATAACCCTTTGTCAGAAAAATTACGATCCATAATACGAGATACTGTGTTCAATAGAAACGTTCATAAAGAAGCAGAAAATCAAGATAGCAAAGTCGACCACCTTATTTCAGATGTTGAAAAAATGTACGATATGATAAGGGAAATAAAAGAAAGTTTAATACAGCTACAAAACCAATCCGACAAAATGTAGTTTCGAGGATCCCGCGGAGTGTTTAGTCCACAGGTGTGTAATGTATAACTTAAACTATTAAAGCTAAAGTTGACCCAAGCAGAAGAGTATTATAAATGAAGTATGAAGAAGCTAATAAACGAAGAATTCTCAAACATATATGTTTCATATATTTCAATGTTTTAGTAATTTATTAATTATATTGTATTATTATATCGTATCATTTTTGCAAGAAAAGATATCCACAATTTCTATGACTTTAATTAGGAAGTAGGAAGTGCAAATTTCATTTTTTTTTTATTCTACAATTTTTAATTTGGACGAAAAAAGTTAACGAGGAGAGTTTACATACGTAAAGAATTAACGTGGGAGGACATTTTGTACATGTAATTTACAAAATTACATTACGAAATTAAAAACATTCATATAACGTATAAATATATTAAAAGAAAAAGATTGAAAATTTACCAAAATTGTGCCGAGTTAGAGAGCAAAGTGGGTTCAAATGTTTTTGTTTTTTTTAGAGAGAAACAGACTTGAGATTCGTTTTTCACACATAAAAAAATTGACATTTTATGTTTAAAATTTTTGCCAATGGTGAAAACTTCAATTTTTTTTTCTAAAATCACAAAAATCTTCGACATGACCATCTATCCACACGAAAAGGCAGGATACATGGCCTTATAGACGCCGCAAAATGGCACAAGCCAGATCTCTCCAAATTAGAACTAGAGTTATCATCATCATCATCATGTATGGCACAACATCCCGTTACCGAGACTGGGCCTCCTCCAAGAGCCTCCGCCAGTTGGCTCTGTCTTCTGCTGCAGCTCTCCAGTTCCGCACACCAAGCAGGGTTCTCGCATCATAGGCCACGTTGTCCAACCATCTCGTCCTCGGCCTTCCTACCCGTCTTACGAGGTGCAGCTCCTCCATCATTATTTTTTTTGGTATTTCACAGGTGCTCATTCTGGCCACATGCCCTGCCCACCTTAGTCTGGCCAGTTTAATATACGTGACTACGTCGATGTCTGCATAGAGAGAACTGAGCTCCCTATTTTTTCTTTTCCTCCAGACATCACCCTCCTTTACTGGACCATAAATCCTTCTCAAAGACACTCAGCTTCATCTCATCCCTTTTATTCATCGTCCAAGCCTCTGAGCCATATGTCAAAACAGGCCGAACAAGGGTCTTGTATATGATCAGCTTGGTCTTCTTTGAGAGGTACCTACTTCTTAAGTGTCGGCCAAGTCCAAAGACACATCTATTGGCAGCCGTGATCCTTCTTTGTATTTCTTGAGCCATGTCATTCTTGCTATTAATTTCAGACCCAAGGTATATAAAACTTTTCACTCTCTCAAACTTAAAAGAACCTACCTCAAATGGAGAGTTCAGATCCACCTCACCGCCAACTCTCATATACTTAGTTTTCCTCTCGTTGACTTCTAGACCAAGTGGTCTTGCAGCTGCTTCAAGGCTTATAAACGCTTCTCAAAAGAACTAGAGTTATAAAATTATTATTTATTTATTTATTGAATAATATAACATTCTGTCGCTTGGACAATGGTTATAGGGAGGTAAGATTAAATTCACACTATTTGCACACAAAAAAATATGAAATAAGCATAAGCAAAATAACAACTAAATAAAAATCAAAAAGTACATGCAATAAATAAAATAAAATAACTTAAAGATAAGTAAATTAAATATATATATATATATATATATATATATATATATATATATATATATATATATATATATATATATATATATATATATATATATATATATATATAAACACTATTTAAAATAAGGCGAAGGACCTCCGAAGCAGGCTTGTTCCTCCAAGTATGTAGGGAAAAGCAGGACTGCAGGAAATCCCTGCGCTACTTTCTCAGCCGCGTCACTGGTACTAAAGCCAATAGAGATTGATCGATAGCGCTTTCCATTATATTATCAATTAAGTTTTCCATTAATTATTCCTTTAAAAAAAATATAATCTAAAAGATAGTGATATGGTTTGGAAGAGGAATAATTCAGCCTTCCAGTGATTTTAGTAAGTTGAATATGGAAAAAGATTTGGATACTTTAGTTAACGCCTGAAAAAAGAAATATGAGGGATACGAAAATAATTATGAGCAACGATAAAAAAAAAACGATTTTTTAAAAATATTTCTACGGAATCGTCAAAACTGTTCTTATTATATACTGACAATAATTTAAATAAAGGGAAAATGGGAGGTATATTGTTACAGGTTAAAAGCGGGCTGTAACTAAATATTGTACTGGAATTTGATCGAGGTGAAGGTTAAAGGAAAAGTAATATCTTTGTAGAAGAGAACTTGTTACTGACTCCTAAGTCGATCAGGATCCTCCTTTCATCTTTGGCTAACAGGTAACCTTATACCTAACCAGCTCTGGTACAAGTATTCGTTTAAACCTCGTTTTGTTCAGCTCTTTTAAAGAACTAGCTTTAAAAAAAAAATGTTGATTTTATCTAATCTAGCGTACTCGTTCTTAGCGTTGGTATTTTTCATAGAACAAATGGAATGAAGTAACTCTGTGGACTTAAATCTCACGTATAGTCGGCGGAACGAACCCCTTTTTATCAAATTATTAACATACATCTAAATTTCGTCAATGGCATCGTCATAACGAAACCTTTTTATTTACGAACATTCTCGGAAGTCGGGAATTTCCAATCTGTACATCGGTAAACGGTGTCTACTTGATGAGGCACTAAAAACGTGAACAACTATTTACTTTCCAAATGAATCGTAAGATAATTTGATCACAAAATAGGTGGCCAACAAACATATTTGGCCGTTTGGAGCGACCAACACCCCTAACATGTCAAAATAATGATGTTATACAGGCCAAGCGGCCCAATATTTTCATAAGTGACGTTTATACCCGATTTTGTAATCAAACTATCAAATGTTTATTCATGAGTTTTTAGTACCTCATTAAATAATCTAATTAGTTTAATAAGAGCATGCTCTGTTTCTGAGAATTTTCGTGGCAAAAAAATGTTAGGTTACGAAAAGATCCAACAAGAAGAATTGATCTACGAAGATTTTGAGGGATACTTTTTTTTAACTATAGTTATTGAGAGATATTACAATCTGTCATAAATAAGGGCATTTATAATAGTGTTCAGAGAGCACATTCACGCTCTATCAACAATAAATAATACAGAAAAAACAATAATACTAAAAGTAAATGTATATAAACTAAAACAAACAAAAAGAAACTAAAGAAATAAAAATAATTACACACACGTTTCTGTGTTAAAGGCAGGACTCTAGAAGATCCCAGCGCCTCTAAATCAGCCGCATTACTGGTATTAAGGACCAGTAAAGGCTGATCAGAGGCGAGTGAGAGATATTAATAATTAGACTAAAAAAAAATTATTGAACCCTGTTTTGACCTTGAGGTAATATTGTGTGAAGCAGTATTCAGGATTTTTGTTAATAAACTAAAATCCGAACAAATCCTATTTCAGTAGAGTGGATTCTGTTTCCACATGGCCATGGGGAAATCGCATTATATTTAACTCTAGTGCATTAGGAAATCAGGTGATTTCTAGCAAAAATCTCAAAAAAATTAAAGTTATTAAATAACAAAGATATTTGTAAACAATAATCATGTAACTTATACCATACATCTAGCTATGAATCAATAATAGCCCTGGAGCCAGGGCCCAAAAATCGACCTAATCGTAGGCGAAGGTTTGATTGTAAATTACGAAAGTGTATGTTATTCTGAGCAAAAAGAACCTTATCTGCCGTTTCGGAACCGATGCTTTCAAAAAAAAAAAAAGGCGGCTGATTTATAGAATATCAGGTCAATAATTAAGGATCGAAACGGGAAATCTATTGCGAAAAATGTGAGAAAAGTTTTAATTTTTTTAACTTGTATATATGGATTAAGACATGTAAAAAACAAAATTGCTTACGCGGGTCACCAAGGGAAAACTTCTTACAGCCAGAAAAGTCAGATTTTTCCGATTTTTTTTTCCATCTATAACTCCTAGACGATGCATCAAAGCGAAAAATGTATCATTTAATAAATTAAGTAACGTTAAATTTTGGATCAAACGAGAACATACACTTTATAATTTTGTCACGCGGTAAGGTATAAGACTACGGTCAACTACCGCTTGATTTTTACCAAATTTGTCAAAAACTGAGACAAATTACTGTAAATGGCCCTGTAACTAATTAATTTAATGTAAGTTACATTACAGTACTGCGACCAAAATCGGTAATCTCCCGATAGTTAGAAATTGGTAATGAAGGTAGACGTGATTTTCAATATTTTAACCATATGTGTGTCTATTCTACTGAGTTATTTTAGTTTAGAGTCTGTTACATACAGTATAAGCCTCTTTTCCACCTCTCAATAGCAAAGGATTTTGGTAAACGATGTGTCGAAAATACAGAATTTTATAAAGGAATAACGAATCCCGATTCGAGATATATACTTGGCCTAAAATAAAAATGTCAGTACACAGTTGATGCAAAATTTAATACGCTACAACTTTCATTCTATTGGTTTTTTCTCTTAGGAACTCATTTCCAAGTTACAGGGCCATTGGACTCGTTGTAGGGCCAAGTGTATGTTCTCGTTGGGCGCAAAATTTAACATTCTTTAATTTATTTAAGCATATATTTTTCGCTTTGATGCATCGTTTAGGAGTCATAGGTAAAAAAAAAAAAAAAAAATAACGAAAAATCTTACTTTTCTGGCTGTAAAGGATATCTAAGAAACCTTAAAATGAACTCAGCAAAATAGTTCATAATCCGTTTCATCTTTGAGAAATCTCTATGCATTAGATACTAGATAACTATAAACAATTCATTGAGAAAAAGTAAGATGAAGGAAACAAAACGTCGGGGGTGGGTTTGGAACAAACTTGAAGGGAACGATAGAACAAGTTTAAAGGCTACTACGTTTGATCTATTATAATGCCTAGGTCGAAAAAGGTGGGGCGAAATGTTATAGAAAGGTCACTGCTCGTTAAGGGGTGAAAATCGGAGGTTGATGGGGAAAGGGGGAGGGGTTAAGGCCACATCTTAACCGGAAAAACTGAATCGTCCTTGTAATGATGGATTCTGTGACTTTTCCTAAAAATAAAATCTCTCTGAATTCATTTTCTATTTATTGTTTCTGAAGTATTAAATATAAACTCAATAACTCCGTTCAATTAAATTAAAAGCGATCACATTACAACCATAAAATTATATTTTAACAATATTAAACTGTAGTGTTAAAGAAGATATCAGAGGTCTATTTCAAAATAAAGTACAAACCAATACTATTAGACTTGTAGCTTGTACTTGGTACTTTTTCGTTTCTTAAAAAAAGTATTAACTACAAGTTGTAAAATTGAAACTACAAAGTAAACATTGCTGTTATCACAGCTAGAAGCAAGGTTAACTGTATTATGTTCATGATAATGTGACATTATTATGTGAAAACTAAAATAAAAAATAATAATAATAAACATGAAATTTAATTGCTTTTGAGACCAATTCATTC